TGAGGCTAAAAGCTGGTTGGGATTCAAGCCAGTTCTTGCAAGTTTAAGATCCTTTCCAAGATGGCATTCGACTTCTCTGTCCAATCCTCTATTATCTTGAAATTGATTTTCTTTTTAGAGGAGAAGGAAAGGTCATATTTAAAATCCAGGGTTATGTCCCTGTTTGAGAGATCTTTCCATTCAATTCCTCTACTTACTCCCACCGGGGCTAGCCCCAGGAAAGAGTAGTTGGCTTTCATTTTCATTATATCCCTTTCCTTTTTCCCCCTTCCAATTCAAAATGACCCCAACTTGTCTACCTGTAGGATATGAGCCTTCCCTCTCCCAGCAAGATGCTCACATCTACCCAACTTGTCAACGAACAAATGGCCAACACAGCTCCTGGGTACTGTCCAACTGTGAGGGCTCTCAACCCAGAATGTCTGTCTGTGAATTTGCCACATTTGGACCTGAAACACACTCTTAAGCCCCGCTCTCCTCTGACCTCAGAACACTCCTGTAACAATTATTACTCTACTCCAGCCCTCTCAGAAGAGGGTCTTCTTTCTCCTAACTAGGACTTAGCCACTCTTCAAATGTCATTGCAGCTGCACTGCAGACTAATTCATATGAAATTTACCAGGTCTGGAAAAAATTCAAACAGAAAACATCCTGGGTGTACACAGGAGAACCCAAGTGTAGTGATAACATCAGAAGAGAGGTGACCAGGAGGATAACAGAAAGATCTCCGGTCATCTTGGAGATGACCAGAACATCCTTTTATAAAGGGGAGGCAGTCAATGCTAGGCAGAAGCCTTCAGACCCTCAACTTCCTCCTTAATTAGCTTAACATGAATGATGATTCTCACATTTTTACAGAGCTTCACCATTTATAATGGGGCTTTCATATCTATATTTCATTATTATCTCTATTTGATTCATTAGGTCCTGTGGGTCAGACTCACTCAAGGTCCCTTAAGCAAATAAGTTGAGACTAGAGCCCAGGTTTTCTGTCTCCCAGGCCAGAGTTCTTCCCCATACCATAACACCTGTAATTAAGCAGAGAAATATGTAAATGAAAATGGAAGTGTGGGGTATGAAGTATAACAGTGTAATACTAATAAACACCTTTCAGATATTTTTAGAAATTAAACTTGCTCAATGTTATTTACAGATTTTTTTCCACTAAAATTATGATACTACATGTCCCTGTCTAGATTTGAATAATAAAAGTTTTATTTTATTGACTGCTGTGAGTTGAACATTTATATACCCCCAAACGCATGTTAAAGCCGTAACCCTCAATATGATAGTGTTTGGAGACAGGGACTTTGGAAGGTAATTCATCTGAGATGAGGTCATGAGGGTGGAACTATCATGATGGGATTAGTGTCCTTATAAGGAAAGGAAGACAATGGTGGTCTTCTCTCTCCACCTGCATGCACTGAGGAAAGGCCATGGGAACACAAAGCAATAAGACAACTGTCTGCAAGCCAGGAAGCAGGCCCTCACCAGGAACTAAATCTGTCGGCTTCTTGATCTTGGACTTCTCAGCCTCCAGGACTGTGAAAATTAAATGTCGGTTGTTTAGGCCACCAAGTCTACAGTATTTTGTTACAACAGGCCAAAAGAGTTTGGACACTATGCAATATTATCAGGCTATTTTCATCAATCTACAAGAAAATTTGCAGGTCAAAAATAAAGCCTACCAGGCATGGTGGCTCAATCCTATAATATCAGGATTATGAGGCCAAGGCAGGAAAATCACTTGAGACCAGGAGTTTAAGACCAGCCTTGGCAATACAGTGAGACCTGATCTCTACAAAAAGTTTAAAAAATTAGCCGAATGTGGTGATGCACACTTGTAGACCAAGCTACTCAGAAGGCTGAGGTGGGAGGATCCCTTGAGCCTGGGAGGCAGGTGGCGGTGAGTTGTGATAGTACTGTTGCACTCCAGCCTGAGGGGCAGAGAGAGACCCTGTCTCAAAAAAATAAAAATAAAGTCCATGTTGTATACACAGTAAATCCATATTTTTCTCAATTGTACTTTACAAATTCAACATATTTCAGTATTTTAAAATGTATATTTGCAATTGTAATCATTCCTCCAAAGCAGGGCCTCTCAACTTTGGCACTTCGGATAAGATAATTCTTCATGGTCATGGCCTGTCCTGCTCATTCTAGAATGTTTAGCAGCACTCTTGGCCTCTATGCATTAAATGCCCATAACACTTGATATAGTTTGGGTGTTTGTCCCCCAAAAAATCTCATGCTGAAATGTGATCCCCAGTGTTAGAGGTGGGGTCTGGTGGGTGGTGTTAGGGTAATGCAGGTGGATCCTCCATGAATGGCTTGGTGCCCTTCTCTGGTAATGCACCAGTGTTCACTCTGTTGTTACCAGGAGATCTGGCTGTTTAAAAGAGTTTGGCACCTCCCACTCTCTTGTTCCCTCTCACCAGGTGATAGGTCTGCACCTGCTTTGCCTTCCACCATGAGTAAAACCTTCCTGAGGTCTGGACTAGAAGCAGATGTTAGCACCATGCTTCTTATGCAGGCTGCAGAAATGTGAGCCAAATAAATCTCTTTACTTTGTAAATTACACCTGGTTAGAGGCATTTCTTTATAGCTATGCAAAGCAAACTAAAACAGCACCCTTCAGTGCCCAGTTATGACTGTCCAATTTGTGCCCCACTATTGCCAAACGTCTCCTAGGTAACAACATTGTCCCATATTGAGAATTAGCTCTAGAGCCTAATGTGTAGTTACCTTTTGCAATAATTACATTATCTATGTGTCTTTTAAAATTCATTTTCATTGAGTTTAATTAAGAGATAGCAAGAATAGTACTGTGGTTTCAGCAATAAAGGCAGTGAAATTTCATGTGCATTTACAAGAAGGATGGCATTAAGTTCAAGAAAGAAGTAGATTAATTCTCATGGAAGAATTTCACATAGAAACGTGAAGGTCTACATTCACATTTCCAGGGAAACCCATTGTGAAATCCATTGTGAAGGATTGCATGGTCCACACCTTGCATTCTACAATTTTCAATAATCACAGTATAATTTTTAAGACTTAGTTTACTTCTTTTTTCTTCTTGTAGATACAACTTTCAATTTGGGGAAAGATATGGGTGTTAATCCTACTTACCTTTGAGAAAAAGTATGACAATTAAATAAACTGTTGATGTACAGCCATTTGGGGAAATCTCTGCTTGAGTTTATAATCTCATCCCAATGTACTATTTTATAATACATATATATATATACACACACATACACATATGCATATATATATACACATACACAAATATGTATATATATATATATATATATATATATATATATGCACACACACACACATGCAGAAGCCTGATAGTTCCTTACAATCTGATAAACTTTAACATCAAGTAAAAAAAAACAGTGATTTATTCCAAGGAAATACTTTCTGAGAGCCCTTTCTAAAAGCAGCTAGTTAACCTGATTTCATGAACGGGTTCAGTGGCTAGTTAGAAGCCTATATCTATGCCCCATTTCTTAGGGAGGCAAAGGCTAAAGGTGGAATGGCAAGATAATCAAGGTGGTTTGTTCCATTTTATCTTCATGTTCAACTCAGCTTCTGTTGACTGTTACTCACTGTGAAGACCAGTTACAAAGGGCTGTGTTAATTGACTTTTAATCTGGTAATTTAAAAGGTTACAGCCACCATGGAGGACTCCCAATGCTGGACCAGTGACCAACATGTAACCTTTTACTCTATCTTGTGAGAGCACAAGTTAATCCGTGGAATAGGGTTCCCAATCATCCTAGTTTGCCCAGGACTTTCTTGGGTTTACCACTTAAAATTCCCACATGCCAAGAAAACTTCCAGCCCTGGGTAAACCTGGACAGTTGGTCATTCTAACTGAGGGGCTTAGAGTTTTTGACAGAATATTTGGTGAAGTTAACTTTTTAAAATATTTCCAAGAGTTGGAAAGATAAGGTCAAGAAAAGTTCCCAAATCTGCTTTTTAAGAAAAAAATCTTTATAATGATCGCGTAGCACATGATATTTGGAATATGTATCTAACTAGCCTGTATGACTGCCAGGTATTTGCTACTGCAATTGTGAAGACAAGCATTTCCAAGGGCAAGAGAACAGTCTGTCTCAGAGTGCTTCATTTAAGCAAGGACACGCTGCCAACTTGAAAGGAAATAAAGGCCACACTTTTGTCTATGGGGGGATCCTGCAGTTATTCCCCTGCAAATTTAATTCAAACAGGTATTGAGATCTGAAACATGGAGATATCCACAAATTAGAGGATACTTGGTTTTTAAAAAGGAAAGAAAGAAAACCCAGGCCACAGAGAACTATATCAAAGCAGCAATAGTGGTTCCTTTTCATGTTAATCACTGTATTGCTATGAACATGTTTTGAAAGTCTATACTATGAATGAAATTTCTTGAGATCTTTTTTATAAAATACACAAAAATTTTAAAGCAAAAAATATTGTTTTCAGGTAAGTCAATTTCATCTTTTAAAAATGTGTGTGTAAAATGTACAAATCAGTGCTATTTTAATACTTTGCTTTTAGAATTATTAGTTATACGAATATGTCATTCAACTAATGTATTAATGATACTTTAAGAAAATGTAGTGCTATTTAAATTTTATCATTCACAAATATACCTCTTTCGAATACCAATGAAATAATTTATTTAAAGTAATCTCTATTGGAAAATTGTATTTTATTTTTTCAAGCAGTTTAAGGATCTGCTTGACTAATAACTGACAATGACCCACAAAATACTTTTTATATGTTCATTGTGAGATGTACTTATAAATTGTACTTGAACTTATCCATTACAATACATGAGAAATATTTCTTTGAGAAATGCTTTTGTTTGACCTCTTATTATGGTCCCAAACCAACCTATAAACAAATATCCCTAGAGGAGGTGTTATATTTGAATAGCAACCTGATTCTGTAATGGAGTAGAGACATTTGTTACCACAAATCATGATACAACTTAGAAAAATTAGTCTAGAGATTGTGTTTTAATTGCCGAGTTCTAAGCAAGCTGCTTTGTCACCATAATTGTTAAAGTTTAACATGTCCATTGTCAAAGGTATGACCAAGGTGAATAAAAATATGTAAGCTCCTAAAGTTTAAGGGCACTCTGAGACATAATTGATGTTCAAGTACCGTTTTTCAAATTTTAAGAGCTATTGGCATCTGCCAACATTCAAAACATAGATATATATCTTGGGAGTTATCAAAATAAACTTTACTTTGTTTGGTACTTCCCTTATAAGATCCCACTTCAAATGTAAGGACACTGAAATAAAAGCCTTGAATTTAAGATAGTATTGCAATTCCTTTTTAGTCATGTAACTAGAGAATTCTTGTGTATATTCCATGTCTTATTTTGGTTTGTATACATTAATCCTGCAAGCCTTTGACATTAGTGTATTCTGCAAAGTATTCAATGACTATATCACCAGTGTCCACCTCTAGACATACATATGACTCCATTTTGTTTCTAATCTCTCAGAGCCCAGTTACATAGACTATTATAATAAGAAATGTATCAGGGATATTCCATGCCATGACACTGGTTTCAATTAATTGTATGTGCATTAATTATATAAGTTGTGGCCAACAGCCAATAGATTAGAAAGCAATAAAAGAGTAGCTGAAATTGAACACAAACACACACACAGTAAATATGGCATCTTAAAAAAAAATTTATAATACCAAGGTTGAAACATGCTATTAGGGAAAGTGATCTGCCACCACCCAAGTCCTGAAATGATTTGTGATATAGTCTATTGTTTTTCTTAATTGGCCACCAACTCTTCACTATAGTCTCCTTTCCTACTTAAATGCTGGACATTAAGAGTGATACAACTATATCAGAAGGCTTCAGTACTTACACTAAATACAAAAGGACCAGGCCAGTAAACTCAGGCTGACAAATGACTACCATAGGACAAGCTGAAAAATCCAGACTGGCTCTTTTGCCTGTTTGACACTGGCTGACTCTGAAATAAAAAATATGACTCTCTGTCCTCACAAATTTTAAGTGAAAAACACTTTTTTAGAAAAAAGAGCTTCAGAAGTCTTTCATACTACTTATATATTTACTCCAAAAGCTAAATTAAGTACACTGTGAGGGGGGAAATGGACTCCATTTATAGCTGGTTTTTTAAAAAAATAGGCAAATCAAACCATCTGAAAATAGGGTTTGTCATGGAAACAGCATGCTAATGGGACAATATCCCAAGTAGCCTTATGGTTTTCCAGACAAGTCCTATTTTGCCACCAGCATTAAAAGAAACAAAAGAATACACTGGTTTTCTATATGCTACATCATTTAAAATAAAATTGTTTTCTAAAAACAAAGGCTGGGAGTGACTTAAAAATGCCTTCTAAAGCTATTTAGCCATAGCATGTAAAACCTTTCTGCATCAAATTTATAGTTATATCATGTTAAGGAAACCTACAATAAGACTGATTTAAAATATATTTTTGGATAGTAATTAATAATGTCAAAAACATGTTTTTCCAGAAATTATCTAATTGAACTACGTAGTGAGGAGGTATGTGTGAATTTGGCCTGAGAATTACTATTTTTTTTGTGTGTGTCTACACAATAAAATCTTCTCAGATATCTACTATATTATGTTAATGTAACAAAGAAAAAAGGAACACAAAATTGCATCTTGCAACTTAAAATCAGATCCTACATTTTTAGTAAGATTTAACTTTTTTTCATTTGCCTTAAAATGAATGATAACTTATAAGACAATTGCATTATAATCAGGAAAGTAACTCTATTGTATCAATGATCTTCATTTTGGTCCCTTGTTATTTTATCACAAAATGTTTTCATGGGAAAATTAATAAAGATATTTTTAACCCGTAAAGGTATTTGAGGTTTTCCATCTAGCATTTCCATTTCTCAAAACTGTATTTCCATATTATGAAATGTACAAGTAAACTTTACATCTCTATTTTATAAAATTAATGCAGATATACTTATGTGTATACTTATCTATATATACACATATATACACATACATAAATTCTGACTAAGAGTAGATCAACTAGATAATTTATCTGGAAAAGGTTCCTTGAACAATTTTAAAAAGGGGTCTTCAGAAGCAAACAAAAAAACAGCCTTATAAACCCAATTGCTGTTTAAAATGTTTATGAACATGTAGCCAGTTAACCACTTATTGATTGCCTATTTATGGTTCTGTAATATCCAAGATTATGGAAGAAGTAAAACAATATCTCAAAAATTATGAGAAAGGTGATGATTTAAAAATAAACCTCCATAATATAAAAAGTCATGTAAATTTATCCCTTGAAAGAAAAGAAAGCTTTAATATTAAAATTAGAATTCTCTTTTAATTCTCTGAGTAAAGAAATAATGTGCAAACTTCTATTTTCTACTGTCATGAAAACAGGTCTTTTCTTGGGACTTCACAAATGTCAATCATAACAATGCAAATAGAGTAATTCTTTGGAAAGACTAATCTGAGGGCTTAAGGGTAGACTTTTTTCATTGAATTCCTGCATTTTTATACTGTGGGATTGGCTATGAGACACTATAAAATGTAAAATAGTTCAGACAGTTCAAGCTCTATTATTTTCAGGCACAAAAACCATAATTTTGTACAAAACTTTGAATTTTTTATTTGCGAAATTAAAAATATGGTATTATATATATATAAACTTCTATTCCTCTATAAATATAGATGATTTTGTGATAGTGAACAGAATAAATGTATACCAAATTCAAAGACCAATATCATTTTTGGGTATGACAGACATAGATAAATTTAGGTCCTAAGTACCGGCATTTTGATAAATTCTTAAAGTTTTAAACAATACAGTCAGAGGACTGCTTTTCTCCTCTTTTTCACAGAGAACTAAAGTGAGTATTTTTAAATGGCTTTGAAAGATTTACATTTGACATATTTCTGTAAATCCAAAAGAGGAGCACACAGGATTTAATGCAGTACACCTGCACACATTTTCCCTTTAGCATGCATGCCCATATTTTATTTCAGGCGCTACTTCCCCATCAATTATTCCACCTTCTTTACCTCCTGAAATCTTACCAGGTTATTACTGGTGCTGTGGATTGTTCCTCCCTCAGAATGTGTTGCTGAATAATAATCGTAATAAAATGTTGAAAGTGTACAACTTTTACATTTTAAAGTTTCTGATATATGCCTCGTTATTTGATTAAAAATAATAAAACAGCACTTCATTTTGAGGAAGTCCATGACACTGAAATCTCCTTCAAGTTTTCAATTTCTGTTTACGTTTTGCTGTCTTGTTAAGGAAAGCAAAGATCGTCAACTCCTTAACAAAGCTTTCCAGGTGACCTCAACATTTCCACTTTACGGACCGACCGGTAAAAATCTAGGCGCAGGCTGTCCCATTCCTAAAGGCAGGTTGCCAGGCATCCGTATGCAATTAGAATTAACATTTTACAACCCCTATCTTCAGTTTCTTCCAACCCTCACAAAGCGTCATGCTTCTTCCCAAATCTCAGTAACCACATCTTTCCGTGACGCTGGCCAAACCCACACTAGGTTTTAGACGCTAGAGAATGAAATGAGCTCACCCCTCAAAAATCAGACTTCAAAAAGTTTGGCATTGGTTATCTCACTCACACTGTAACCAACTAAGGTGGGAGTAGGGAGTGTCTGGGCGTTGGAGGTGACCGTGGAGGGAGGCTGAGACTATCAGCGCCCACACCCGTGCGCCCCCACGAAGTTGGAGGAAAGTTCTGGACAGTTAAAAATCCGCTTCAGGAAGTCAAAGGGCTGGGCCTTCGCAATCCACCGCTGAGCAAGGGAGGAACTGGAATGTACCCAGGCCCACCTCCAGATTTGGAAGCTTTGTGGAGTTCTGTACCGTAAGATCCTACCTCGAGCCAGGAAAGGAAGGGAGGGGGCAGAAGGAGGAGGCGGGAAGTGACCCCGGCAGCGCAGCCTAGTTGCACCCCGCAGTGCTGAACTGGCCCTGGAGCTGGCGCCCAGCGGGCGAGCACCCGCGGCAGGGCGGGAGGGGCACGCGAGGACGACCGGGAGCGCTGGGCGGTTGCACTCCAGTTTTAGCTCCTCTGCAATACTCCGAAAAGAGCAAGAAGGAAAAGCCTCACATGGTTAAACCACCCTAAATAATTAAAAACTTCTGAAAAAGAAAAACGCGTGATCGGTCGTCACTTAAATACAAATATACTTACAAAAATCTTACACAGGCTATTTACAATCATAAAAGCGAACAGTCCTGGTACCAGAGTGTGAGGGCAAGAGTTCTGTCCATCCTCCCTCTGGCAGTCGGGCCCTTGTGTTCTTTTGCTTCAGGGACGGAAGCTTTTGCAGGAGCTGAGTTATTCAAGGGAGCCTGCGAAACAGCTGTCTAGTGAGGAAGCCTCGAGATGTCCGGCTTGGCACGAACTCCACGGGGCTGGCTTTGAGGGGTGGCTGCGCCCTGGCGGAGGCCTGGGCATGGGCTGAGCTCCGAGTCTCAGACGGTAGTCTCCCCCTGTTTGCTGTTGGTGAGCCTCGTGTAGAACTTCCTCCAGGAGTTAAGGGTCTTGCCGGACCAGATCCAGAAACCCGACGTGATGCCCACGATCAGCGTCATAAGGTACTTGATCATGAAGACCGTGAAGTCCGGGCTCATGGGCGGGTGCGGTGGGGCGCCTCCGCCCGCCTGGAGGTGAGGGCAGGGGATAGCGTAGCTTTTGCAGCTCTGGGCCACCCAGCTGCGTTCCCACTGGTCCCGGAAGGCCTGCTCGTAGAAGTAGCAGGCGATGACGATGGTGGCTGGCACAGTGTACAGCACGCTGAAGACGCCAATGCGCACCATGAGCTTCTCCAGCTTCTCGGTCTTGGTGCCATCGTGCTTCATGATGGTGCGGATGCGGAAGAGCGACACAAAACCGGCCAGCAGAAAGGACGTGCCGATGAACAGGTACACGAAGAGGGGCGCCAGCACGAAGCCACGCAGCGCGTCCACGTTGTTGAGCCCCACGAAGCACACTCCGCTCAGCACATCGCCGTCCACTTGGCCCAGCGCCAGGATGGTGATGGTCTTGATGGCCGGCACAGCCCAGGCGGCCAGGTGAAAATACTGTGAGTTGGCCTCAATGGCCTCATGGCCCCACTTCATGCCAGCCGCCAGGAACCAGGTGAGCGACAGGATCACCCACCAGATGGAGCTGGCCATGCTGAAAAAGTAGAGCATCATGAAGAGGATGGTGCAGCCCTCCTTCTTGGTGCCCTGCGCCACCGTGCGTGCCCCGTCCTCGGCGAATTTGTCGTTACACACCACCCGGTCCTCCAGCAGGAAACCGGCGATGTAGGCCACGGCCACGGCCGTGTAACAGCCGGACAGGAAGATAATGGGCCGCTCCGGGTAGCTGAAGCGCCGCATGTCCACCAGGTACGTGAGCACCGTGAAGAGAGTGGAGGCACAGCACAGCACTGACCAGATGCCAATCCAGGTGCGCGAGAAGCGCAGCTCCTCGGGCCCAAAGTACATGAGCCCGTACACCTTGGTCGGTTCACAGGGCGCGCCGCAGTCCTTCTCCCCCAGGAAGTGGTAGTTGAGATAGGAGGGCACCTTGAGGGCGCGCGGGCAGGAGAACTTGCCTCGCTCCGACGCGCCGGCGCCCCCCGGGAAGCCGCCACGGTGCCCTCCGCCGCCGTGCTGGGGGTTGCTGGTCCAGAATTCTGGAAGCAGCGAGGGCGTCGGGGTGCCCTTGTCGGACGTGTTCTGGCCCACACACAGCTCGCCGGCGCCGTGCACCGGGAACTTCTCGCACTTGAGCGTGTCTGGCCACTGGAAGCCGAACTTGTTCATGAGCGCCTCGCAGCCCTGGCGCGCGCGCTCGCACAGGGAGCGGCAGGGCGGCAGCGCCTGCTCCAGCACAGTGCACACGGGCGCGTACATGGAACATAGGAAGAACTTGAGCTCAGCGGAGCACTGCACTTTCACCAGCGGGTAGAACTGGTGCACCTCGAGGCCCGCATCCTCCTGGTTCGTGTGGCCCAGCAGATTGGGCATGATGGTCTGGTTGTACGCGATGTCCGTGCACAGCGGGATGGAGATGGGCTGGCAATAGCCGTGGTCCGGGATGGAGATGCCCCGCTCGCCGTTGTACTGCTGCCCGCTCTGCTGCTGCTGAGGCGGCGGCGGCGGCGGCGGCGGTTGCTGCCCTGGCCCGGGCCCCTGGCCTGGCCCCTGGCCCGCCGCCTGCGCCCGGACCCCCAGCAGCAGCGGAGCCTCCAGCAGCCAAAGCAGCAACAGCAGCTGGCGCGCCAACCGCCGGGGGTCAGCTGGGGGGCGGCGGTGGCCACCGGCGTCCCCGCTCCCCTCCTCCGCCAGCCGGGTGGAGAGCGCCCCGGCACAAAGTTCCCAGCTCGCGCCGCCGCCGGCGGCCCGGGACTTCTTAGGCGCCTCCTCCTCAGCCATACTTTCTCTGCTCGTCTCTTGGCGCCGCTCCGCTGGGGCTGGCAGGGGCACGGCCGGCGGCGGCTCCCCCTGCGGCCAGGGAGACCACTGCGCCGGTGCCCTCCGTCGAGCCCAAGCCTCGTTCGGCCCGCTCCCCCGGCTCCTGTTCTGCGTACCGCAGCCGCCGCCGGCGCGGAAACTTGCGATTCATGAAGCGAGGGCGGCGGGGAGAACCCGGGTGGCTCGGGCGCGCCGGGGTCGTGTCCCGCCTTCCTGGCCCTCGGCTCGGTGACTCCCGGCTGGCGGCGCCGCGCTAGTGGTCGCGGCCCCGTAGAGCGCGCAACTCTCCGCAGCCCAGCGGGCTCGGCTCCCCCCTGCGCCTCCGCCTCCTTCTCCGCCGCCGCCGCCTGACCATTTGTGTCAATCCCTCAACTCGCTCCCTCTCCTCTCCGTCGCGCGCCCTCGGACCGGTTTCCAGGCGCCCCGCAGTCTGTCTTTCACCAGGAGGGAGGAGCCTTGAAACCGACGCAGAACAGGAGGCTCAGGGACCGTCGCCCAATCGCGGCACCGGCTTCCCAACGCAAAGGGAGCCGGCCGCCTCCTTGCCAGAGCGAAAGCCAGCGGCGGGCTGGCGGGCGGGGTAGGAGGAGGCGGGAGGAGGAGGAAGTAGTGGTGGTGGCACTACTCAGGCACAAAGAGTAGGATTGCTATGAAGCGGGACAGGCTTGGTTGCTTTTGCTTTTTCAGAAGAAAAGGGCGAGGACAAGTAGGAGAATGGTCCCATATGCTGCTGGAGATAATGAATAGGAGTCGGAGGACTGCGGAACTTAGCTTTTCTTTTCTTTTATCCATTATCATGTTTAAAAATCCTGCTCTTAACGCTAGTTACCAACCCCAAACCGGGTGCTGCTTCCAGAACAGATGTCTTTGACTTAAGGAGCGCACGGTTTCCTTTGAGTTTGTGTCTGTCGAGGTTTTGTTTAAAATATTACACTAATAAATCCTCCAGTTCGCAGGCTGGGTTTGGCGGGCTTTGGTAGCGCCATTTCCCCAGCGGAGACGTTCACGGGATCGCTGTCAAATGAAACAAAACACAAACTTTGATGGAATTTAGAAAGTAAAGCCAGATGCGCCTTCTGCTACTATCATTCTTCTCGTAGCCAAACTCCTTTTTTTTCCCGCCTCCTTAATCAAGACAGAAAGAGAGGCAAAGGAAAACTATCCATTAAATTTTTGGAGAGAAAAACTTAAGAACCCGACGACCGAGGCGGCGGGGGCGCCTCTCCGGGATCGTCCTCGCCGCTCCAGACCGCAGAGGTGGCGCCGGCGGGAGCTGCAATTGCCGGCGCTGGGCCCGTGGGGAGCCTTTCTAAACCCTGGGGACGCCCAAGGCTCTGCTGGGAACTCCTGGGACCTGGGCCATTTAGGTTCCACAGGCTGGGCTGCAGAGCTGGAGACGCCAGTTTAACAAAACAAACAAACAATCTGAAAGCAAACAGCAAACTACACATTCTCTTCCTAATTCCCAAACAACATAATCCATCTCAGCAGACGCACATTAATGTTGTTTTCCTTGTAAGATTATTTTAAATGATGATTTGACTATGTGACTAAATCAGCTTTATCAGAAAATTGCCACTGGATTATTAATTTTTCGAAAGATTTTTTTTTTTTTTTTGGCCTGTGATCAGCTTCAATCTCAGTATACTCTTCTCCAATTATTTTCTGTCATTCATTTACACATTCATTTGTTTAATAGATACCAACCATCCATTGTGCTATAAGCACTCTTAGGTCATAGAGTATAAAATGAAGGAGACCTGGGCCAGCCCTAGAGGAGGGCACAGTACAATGGGGCACAGAAATGTGAATCACTTGTCACAGTGTCCACCCCAAAGCCAAAAGGGCACAAGGAGAGCAACCAGCCCAGATGAAATGGGGTTCTGACAGAGAGGTAGGTGTAAGGTGCAAAAGATTAAAGCTCAAATTCGCTTGAATTGCTGAAGGGGGCCAGAGAGGTGAGTGTAGCTGAGTCATTTTGAGGGGAGAAAAGGTTTTAGTCCAGACTAAAACGTTTGGGCCAAATTATACAGAAAATAGAGAACTATTGAAGTTCACTTTCCCCACATAGGCAGGGAGTGATTTCAGGGTGACTGAAAGAGGGCACCTGAGGCAGGCTGTCATTAGGAAGCTTTATTGATATATACATAAAGATTACTACTTAGGTGGGTGTTACTTGTACTACATACTAACACATCTCTGAGAATTTCACTACCTAGCATGTTGGTGTCTCTAAAGAAGGTGCAATCATATTGTTACCTGTTAAAGCAAAATGACATCTATTTGTCTCAGATACATATATTACTGTTTTTCAAATGTTTATAGAAGCAGTACATTCATAAAATGCATATTTGCTTTAAAGTATTTCTGATTGCTAGCATTTTTTTAAGCAACAGGTACTAAATGCACAATTATGTGAGCACATGTATGTGGGTTGACTAATTTATGACACATTTTGATATTGAAAAAGAGGTTGGGAAGCACAGGTCTCTTAGGTCCTTTGAACACTCACCATTCAATAAGTGTTCATTTTACCTCTGGCATCCTGGCCCCCAGGCTCCCAGGGACACTTTTTCTCTAGCCTTTCCACTCTGATGCTTATTCCTCTGCTAATGGTATCCCATGTTTAGGAACTTTATCAAGCCATCTCTCTCCTATCACTCCTCTCTTGGAAAGACTTATCTGTCTTGTGTTCCATTCCCTCAAGGTCATTCAAGCTGACTGGGCTGAGTGAAAAGTGAATTTATTCTGATGTGTTAATTACCAAGAAGCATCACATGTGTTAAGCATCCATCACCACCATCACTCCAAATCCTTCTCCTGCTCCCCTAAACAGTTAAGGCACAGAGAATATGGCAGAACACTCAGTTCTGTTTCTCAGAGTAGAAGACACTGTCTTGCTTCAAAAGTTGTTCTACTGAAATTCTTGAACTTGTTTTATATTCGACCTGACAGTGAAGTTTACTATGAGGAGGCTCAGAAGTACAGCCAGCTTCAAAAAGAGACATAGAAAGAGAAACTGTCATTCTTACCAGATTTTGAAACTACAGGGAACCAAAGATGTCATCTAGGAATGAGTTAATTTTCTGCAATCTACAATTAAGAATATTGGGCCCAGAAACATTAAGGGATGTGCGTCAGGTTAAATGGCCATTTTGGCTTGAATTTCATTAGAAGCTTATTTTAATCCTTCCTATATTTTTTGAGTAGCTATAGTTCTTTTTATCTTTTTTAAAAGTTAGTTTTCTGTGGAAGTTCTCCCTCAGTAGAATGTGTAAATGAAAGACCTTGTAAAATTTTTTAAAAATCATTTTCTGAGAGTTGTCTTCCAAAGTTAAAAAACCCAACAAACTGGATTTTTATTTATTATAGAAATATAATATTTAATTTATCAAAACTATGTAATACAGAGGAAGGTATTAAAATCAGAAACAATTCAGAGTTTTAGTAATAACAAAGGTCATGAAAGGAGGTCTTTTGGGGGCGGTAATGAAGGCAATGGGTAGCAAAATATTAGAAGAGAAATATGAGCAGTATATTTTAATAGAGTATAAAATGTACTATTTTCTCAAGATGTGGAAAAGTTTGAGATCCACAGATAAAAATTACTAAGTAAATATGAAATATTATGAACTTGGTAACAAAAATATTTCAGTTAGGGTCAAAACTATAAACATAACCCAATTCCTCCTTGATAATGTTTGGTCAAGCATCAGACTCAGTCAAGTTTTCTTATATCAAAGATCTTGTTTTATCAAGACTTTCCCAAATCTTCTGAAGTTTCTCCAGACTGCTTCTGTCAGGTTGAATGTGGATAATTAGCAGGGAGATCCAGTTCCAATTACATATAGTTGAGTGTACACAAACACACAAGCAGTTAGGTAAATGCTCCATGCGCAACCTGAAGGATCTTAAGCTTTTAGGTGAGTTGTTTTATTGCTGGCTTGTGGGTGGCAGGGTTGAATTGTCTGTGTTGAATAATAGAGGTTAACACAGGTTAAGACTATATTTTTGAACACCTACTGTGTATACTTGGTATTGTTTTGCACGATGTATTCATATATCGTGTTGCTTAAACTTTGAGGAAGATGCTAATTATCTTACCCTTTTTTTTTCTTTTTCTTTTTTTTTTAGAGATAGGGTCTTACTCTGTCTCCCAAGCTGGTATGATCAGAGGATCATAGTTTGCTGCAGTCTCAGACTCCTGGGCTTGAGCAATCCTCCCACTTTAACTTCTCTAGTAGCTGGGACTACAGGTATGCACCATCATGCCCATCTAATTTTTAATTTTTTTGTGGAGACAGGATCTTGCTATGTTGCCCAGGCTTATCTCAAACTCCTGGGCTCAAGCTGTCCTCTCACTCAGCCTCCCTATGTTATCTCCTTTTAATAGATGAAGAATCTAAGGCTCAAAGCAATTAGGTAATTTGTTTAAGGTCCCATAGCCAGAAAGAGCCAGAGTGGGGCTTGTGTCTGACCAAAGTCCATGGACTTCCAGTGAGTAACACTATGTAATCATGCCCACTCAAAAAATTATAGAAGAAAATGTGGTTTCTGGGAGTACATCAGGTGATTGCTCAGTATTTAACATGGTTTTCTATTCTAGGATATATAGGCTAGGGGCTTAAATGCTGGGATACACTAATGAGTCAGAGCAGCATTTTCTAAGCTATGTTCTGTGAAATACAATATCTTCTCCAAAGGTGTTTTTAAAATAAATTTGTTCAAATACGTTTGGAAAAAGGCCATATTCTATGTCCTTATCGGAGATTCAAATTAGCCTAATATAATCTCTGAGAAGTGCTGAGTTTAAGAACACTTTCAAGCTTTTGTCTGATTTAGTATTTCCCACATTTGGAATAAACACACACACACACACACACTTGGAATACAAACATATATATATACATACACACATACATAGGCACACATATATATTATACTGCATCATTATTTTGCTTGACATTAATGCTCTGTGAGATTCAACTTGGAAAAATGCTGAATTAGGCCTATATTTTGAATTTTTATTTTATAAGGTTGGACTCACCTCTGTATTACTTTTGTGTGTCAAGTGTAGAAAGTGAGAACTTGGCCTGCTATGCTTTTATTTCTTGATTCTTCTTGAATTCCTAGTGAAGGGATGTTGATTTGTTAGGGGGCTGATGTGATAGAGAAAACTCAGGCCATCCTATTCCCTTCTTTCGGGGTGGCACCGCCTAGGCATCTATTATATTGTCTCTGTCCCAGGGACACATTAGGTATAACCCTACTCAAGCTTTCAGCATAGTTCTCTGTCTTCTTTCTTCTTGAATTTCCAACCCAGAAATTACTACATAAGCTATTTCTTATCTTCCAAAACATCTGTATTCTTCTGCAACAATTTTAAAAATGAATGTCTTTTCTTTCTTTGTTTCTTCTTTCATTCTCATACAAAT